GGAAAGGAGCCAGAAGTTTAGCTGGTCCTCCGATAGGTGATAGACCCTGGGACAAAGCTCCTGGCAGGTTGCTCTCTGTTCCTCTGTCCCTGGGGCTTTGGGGAGGTCATGTGCAGTGAGGAGAGGTTCTTGGGTTTCTCCAAGGCTTTGTCCCCCGGGGCTGAGCTGCTGAGCTGCTCTGGCTGTTCCCACAGGGAAGGACCCCAGAGCCCCTTCCCAGCCTGTGTGGATATTTCATTTCCTGGCAGCTGGCAGCTCTTGGGAGGCAGTTGTTCCCATTGGGATCTAGGGGACCTGGACTGGCCTCTGCCCAGGGGATGGTATGAGGTCCCAGAATCCCCCCACTGCCAGAAACCCCCAGAGATGGAGTTGGCCTATTGACCTCATAAGGGCCTAGGGGGGTACCCCACAACCTGGGGTCTGGTCCCACCTCCATTTTGTCAGTCCTGGCCACCCCTTCCCCCCTTCACTGGGGGCGGGGGGTTGTTCTCCCCAAAGCCAGCATGGAGGCTGTCTGGGTGGCAATGGTCACTCTGGTTGGGGGCTGTTGTCAATGGTTTGGGGGGAGGCAGCCCACGTGACTGGGTCTTAAGTGAGCAGCATAGGGCTCTGGGTGGGCTGCCTTGCTGGACACGTGTTGGGCTGGAACAGACAGAACAGGAGCCCTTAGGGCAGGTGAGGTAGGCTGACTAGGCAGGCTGAGCATGGCCAGGGGCGGGGGGGGGCACGTGGGACCCCCAGCATTGCCACTGAGAGTCCCCGTGGACCCTCCACACCCAAGTCACCTCACCACCCCTGTACACCCAAATCCCCCCACCACCCCTGCACACCCGAGTCTCCACCCGCCCCTACACACTCTAGTCCCCCACCGCCACTTCACTCCTGAGTCTCCCCCCACCCCTGCACATTCGAGTCTCCCCCACTACCCCTGCACACCTGAGTCTCCCCCCACCCCTGCACACTCCAGTCCCCCACCACCCCTGCCCTCCTGAGTCTCCCCTGCCCCTGCACACTCCAGTCCCCCACCACCCCTGCACTCCTCCAGTCCCCACACCGCCTGCACTCCTGAGTCTCCCCTGCCCCTGCACTCCTGAGTCTCCCGCCCCTGCACACTCCAGTCCCCCACCACCCCTGCACTCCTGAGTCCTCCACCACCCCTGCACTCCT